ATGATGTGATAAATGATTTTGCAGGAGTGAAGCCAAGGAAATGTAAGATCAGATTCACTGAGATGTTACCTGTACTCAAGGTCAAATTGGAACTAGTATTTCTCTGATGTTGCAATGTTTTTCTTTATTTTTCATTTTTTTTTTGTTTTGCATTGTTGAAGATGAATAAGTGTAGGATCTGTTGCCTGTTCTCAAAGCGGTATTTGAGTTTATGTTTCCTCAATATTACTACGATTATTTATTTTATCATTAATTAAGTTGAGAAGTATTCTCCTGTTCGGTTTATGGCTCTTAACATTCTCATAGCTAAACATTAGTCACTGGTCATGCAGTAGTGACGTAGCTAGAGTTTATTCCCCCCCATCCCCCTGCCCTTGGATTTCATTGAGGTGACACCAAAGATTCCGCCCTGGGTGACACCAAAGATTCCGCCCCAGGCGACACCAACCCTAGCGATGCCATTGCTTATTACACTCCTGGTGGATGAAATGTCTGCCTAAATAAATTGCCCTAACCCTCATTTAAAAAAAAAATGAGGGTTAGGGCAATTTATTTATGCAGACATTTCATCCACCTTATTTATATACTGTCAGTATATTCAACCATTGCATTACCCCCCTAAATAAAATGCCTTGACCCTCATATTGTGTGTTATTTACAAACATTTTTTTTTTTTAGTAATGTTGTTCTTGCTGCTGCTGTGTCTAGGTATGGTGAAGGTTCTATTAGTTTAGGAGGTAGTGATTGCAACATTTGGTCCACTCTTCTTTAACATCTGTGTGATGGTATCTGCAGTGTTACCTTGTAGAAAATTTGTACTTTTTTGATGCTGAAAGTGTTTTCTGAACACTTGTCTGCCATTGCAAAGGAAGTGCAAAGAATTGTGAAGCATGGCAAGGATGTTATTAATGATGCCTCGTTCCTTTTTTAAATATTCAGGGCTGCAGATTGTAATTTCTCAGAAGGACCCCCAACTCAAAGCTCCTTATTTGTTTTTCTACATTCAAAGACCATCCTTACCCTTCCTACAAAAGCACTGGCACCACCATTGTACAAATACATTGTCCTCCATTTTGCATCCATTGATCAACTTTATTTCCACAGACTCCTCAACATGCCAGCTACTGTACCTTGTTTCCCCTTATTCATTCATACACCCTTCATCCTTTCCACAGTTGTTCATTTAATATTTGTTCTCTTTCTCTCAGATACACCTGATTTAACCCCATTAATGCATCCCTGTTGAACTCTCTTGCTGCTTTTAATATTGTTTCACTCAGTGCTAGGCCACCTAGCTTCTTTTCGTTCATATTATTAACAATTGGTAATATATAGCATTCGTATTACATCCGCACATACTGTACTACATGTAAAGCTAGAAAACAATAATTATAAACCTGGTCTTATTAGGCTGTTTTGTGCAAATGTTCATACTCCAAGTGGAGGATCAGATTATTGTTACATTTAATTCTGGTACACCTGTGACACTCTGTGCAATAACAGTAAAGCTATGTTGTTTCAGAATATAAGTTTAAACTCTCATGTTTAACACAGCTTGTTTACCAACATAGTAATGCATTTAATGCATAAAAGTTTATTAATTTGGGCAATTATTGCTTCTTTAAGGAACAGTGGCCATGTTATCAAGATAATTGCTTTCAGTTAATGTACTGGTATCTTATATATCAGGCAAGATCCTCTTAGAAAAAGATTGATCATGCTTCATTGTTTTATAGCTGTAATGTGAATTTTTTTAAAGTATTTTTTCTACTTTTATATATTATATAATATATATATATATATAATATATATATATATATATATTAATATATATATATATATATATATATATATATATATATATATATATATATATATATATATATATATATATATATATATATTATATATATATTTTTTTTTTTTTTTTTTTTTGGTTGTGGATGAAATGTGGATGACTACAAATTAGAAGTAGTTATCTTGATATTTTGTTATGGTTTGGCTGCCAGTCGCAGAAAGCTGTCATTGGTATTTAAAACATTGTACCGTACTTTCTGCTCTCTAACATAAGGCAAACATTTTATTAATTTAGTCTCACAAATTATTTAGGCTACAAGATATTCAGGTTAAGGTGTTCCTCAGGTATTGTTCTGTGGGCCCAACAAAATGTAGACTCTCTTAACTGATGTAGATTTTCCCAGCCAGGTACTGTATTCTGTAGTTCTTCTGTAGACTGGCCTACTAACATGACTGCTCATGTAGTAGCCTGCTCGCCATAATCTGATGGTTTTATAAACCTCTTTTGCTTTCTCGCTACATGACCTGCATAGCAACTCTGTGATCTGGACAGGTGTTTTCCACGGCATTTATGTTTACGAAGAAAGTATGCATGGTTTAATACCTATGGATAACACTCGACACAGGATTGGTGGCGGCTCCAATAAATTTTCTTATATTGTATTTATATTTAGATAATGACTTTTCATTGTAGGGCTGGATAACTTTCCCAGCCAAGGCTTGTGTGATGTGAATAAACAATATTGTTGTCCCTTTTTTTGCTTGCAGACTTTACTATAAAGGGGCTTTGCACAATGCCCTGTAAACTGTTTGAGGCTTACTTCATTGACGTAATGCAGGGTATCTATTGTAGTCCTTTCTTTATGACAGTCTTTTTGTATATTTATGTGTAGACTTGTGTATAATTATGTATGTGCTAGTTTTCTGCAACTGTATTCAAAAAAGTTCCTAATTACTTTGATCACTGACATTTTCTAAAAAAAAAAAAAAATCATTTGAGGTTGTTTATGTTGTGGTTCAAAAGTGCTACATATCTAATCATTTGATTATAACTGTGATTACATTGAAAAACTAAAAAAAATCAACTAATTTTTGACCTAATGGATAATATTCACACATGAGATAGTCAGTGGCCAAGATTAGCTGGACTTTTTCACTGCAGTATCCAGTGTCTGTGATTTTCATGCTCCATTGCCTGGTTAATTCTAGTCCTTTGTAGTATAGACTTTGGTCTCAGATATCACACTGATTTACTTAACCCTTATTTTTGTGGCTTCTTTCATTTTACTACTACAGCTTATAAAAAAAACATGCTTCATAATAACCAACTCAAACATGTACATTTAATTCTGTTGAATTATAATCCTAGGTAAGATAATTTACTATGCATCTTTTGTTGTCTAGCTAGTCTTCGAAATAAAGATTTTTAATGTGGTGACTCATTCTCTTTTAAAAATATATATTGGGTAAAGTGTTATATACTGGGTATTTTTTTTGTTATTTTATTGTTTTTATTGTGCATTTAGTGTTAGCATATATAATTAAGAAGTATATAAATAATGTTCAGAAAGTGGATCATGTTAGTGTATAGGGCTTGATAATGATTCAGAAATGTGTAGAGAATGTTAAAGGATGCTCATGTTGGCTTCTAGTTACAATTTGTGAGGGATTTTAATGATTTTGTTTATACATTTTTTTTTCTGCTTATTTTAGCAAGATTAATTTGCACAGAGTATAGCTTTCCTTTGAGATTTTTAGTTCTGAGTTGATCCTGATAAATAATTTTTGTTTTTATAGCAGAGGAATCATACTTTTTCCAGGCTTAGTCAAATTCATTTTATTTCAAGCTCCTTGCTAAAACCAATTAATTTTCTTTTCTCTTAAGTTTTTTGTATTCATAGTTAAGGGCTGACAGTTAATAGCTTTGAAAAATCTCATCCTTGGCCTCTGGAAAAGTTTGTTTTAGATTTTATATCATAATTAATATGAATTTCAAATAGAAATATTTAATTATCTTTTTTTTCATTTTCAAGAAAGTTGTTGGGCAGTTTTTATTTTCTCTTTTTCACTTTCATATTGATAACATGCAAAATATAAGTATTAACTAAACTGACTTAAAGTGAAATTTGCATATATATAAACTGTGTGCTATATTTTAACATAAATTTCTCATTAATTAAGTTACACAATGTGAATATGGAAATAATGTGACATAAAATAATCACTATTAACCATTATATTAAGATAATATTTTATTATTTCTATTCCGAAAGTAGGATAAGAATTTGTCACTCATAGTGGTATAAAAGATGAAGTATGTGGGAAATTAGCTATGTTAAGCATGTCAAAATGTACGGTAGTCTAGCGTGATTGGAAAATCCTGATATTTCAATGATTTATAGATAATATGGCATGGGGTCAATTAGTGGCCTAATAGTATCAGTATGCATGATGGAGTTTTTGACATAGGTCTATATGCTAGTGATGAAAATAATTTACAATTATTTCATAGACCTTTACTTGTCTAATTTTTGCATGATTGCAGTAAAGAATTATGATTAAAAATTTTACTGAATAAAATTAATAATAGACCTCATTAAATACAGTATTCTAGTTTTGAGATAATATAGATACAGTTTTTATGGTAATCATACAGTAATTATATCAGGTTTTTAGTTTAAAATTTGCTCCTTAGATTAAGAAAAAAAATTACAATTTCAAATTATTCTTTTCAGTATACTGGATTGTTTTATATTTCTCATTTGTATTTTGTAGTATAATCTTGAGTTCTAAATTTGAAAATTTATCAAAGGTTATGCTGATATGCTAATTTTTCCTGCTTCCCTTCTTTATGCAACTATTGAGACTTAAGAGTAGCAAATTCTTTTATGCACAGTAAACTATAAGAAACTGTAACAAATATTTGTGCCTCTCACTATTAGAAAAAAATAGCCTCTTGCTTATATAAGAAGACTTAGAAGGCCTATAATAATTCAACAGTGTTATATTTTAGATGACTATATATAGTATATTATACTTATCAAGAAACATTCACTTCCATAATTTAGTTATGCTATAATCTTGGACAGAAATTTTTTATCTATAAAATGGGTGTTGCTAAGTGCAATTCTTGTCATTTGAAATATAAAATTGCCATTTTCATTGCTCCAACATACCCTAAGCATTGTTCCCTCACACTTCAGCAGATGGAGGCATGCGGTGTGGTGACGATGGGTCCATTGTCCACCAGCTGCAGCGTGCCATGGATCTCGAGGAAACTGATAAAGATACACTGCACCTTCTTGTATTTCTTTTCATGCAGTTCCTCTCTCAGCCCCAACATGTAAGTCTTGGATATAGTGGAATAACAGTTCTTTTATCTCTGTGATATTATTAATGTGTTGAATCAGGTGGTTGCTTACAAAAAGGAGACTATACAGTTTTTTTTTTTTTTTGACATAGCTGCATTCTCCCATTTAGGCATGGTGACCCAAAAAAAGAAGAACTGTAAAGTTTCTTTTTTTGTTTTTCAACAAATCGGCTGTATCCCGCTGAGGCAGGGTGATCCATAAAAGAAAAGTTTTTCTTTTTTGAGTTACAAAAATTTTTCTTTTTTTTTTTTTTTTTTTTTTTTTCAACAAGTCGGCCGTCTCCCACCGAGGCAGGGTGACCCAAAAAAGAAAGAAAATCCCCAAAAAGAAAATACTTTCATCATCATTCAACACTTTCACCACACTCGCACATTATCACTGTTTTTGCAGAGGTGCTCAGAATACAACAGTCTAGAAGCATAAACATATAAAGATACACAACATATCCCTCCAAACTGCCAATATCCCAAACCCCTCCTTTAAAGTGCAGGCATTGTACTTCCCATTTCCAGGACTCAAGTCCGACTATATGAAAATAACCGGTTTCCCTGAATCCCTTCACTAAATATTACCCTGCTCACACTCCAACAGATCGTCAGGTCCCAAGTACCATTCGTCTCCATTCACTCCTATCTAACACGCTCACGCACGCTTGCTGGAAGTCCAAGCCCCTTACCCACAAAACCTCCTTTACCCCCTCTCTCCAACCCTTTCGAGGACGACCCCTACCCCGCCTTCCTTCCCCTATAGATTTATATGCTTTCCATGTCATTCTACTGTGATCCATTCTCTCTAAATGACCAAACCACCTCAACAACCCCTCTTCTGCCCTCTGACTAATACTTTTATTAACTCCACACCTTCTCCTAATTTCCACACTCCGAATTTTCTGCATAATATTTACACCACACATTGCCCTTAAACAGGACATCTCCGCTGCCTCCAACCGTCTCCTCGCTGCTGCATTTACCACCCAAGCTTCACACCCATATAAGAGTGTTGGTACTACTATACTTTCATACATTCCCTTCTTTGCCTCCATAGATAACGTTTTTTGACTCCACATATACCTCAACGCACCACTCACCTTTTTTCCCTCATCAATTCTATGATTAACCTCATCCTTCATAAATCCATCCGCCGACACGTCAACTCCCAAGTATCTGAAAACATTCACTTCTTCCATACTCCTCCTCCCCAATTTGATATCCAATTTTTCTTTATCTAAATCATTTGACACCCTCATCACCTTACTCTTTTCTATGTTCACTTTCAACTTTCTACCTTTACACACATTCCCAAACTCATCCACTAACCTTTGCAATTTTTCTTTAGAATCTCCCATAAGCACAGTATCATCAGCAAAAAGTAACTGTGTCAATTCCCATTTTGAATTTGATTCCCCATAATTTAATCCCACCCCTCTCCCAAACACCCTAGCATTTACTTCCTTTACAACCCCATCTATAAATATATTAAACAACCATGGTGACATTACACATCCCTGTCTAAGACCTACTTTTACCGGGAAGTAGTCTCCCTCTCTTCTACACACCCTAACCTGAGCCTCACTATCCTCATAAAAACTCTTTACAGCATTTAATAACTTACCACCTATTCCATATACTTGCAACATCTGCCACATTGCTCCTCTATCCACTCTATCATATGCCTTTTCTAAATCCATAAATGCAATAAAAACTTCCCTATCTTTATCTAAATACTGTTCACATATATGCTTCAATGTAAACACCTGATCTACACATCCCCTACCCACTCTAAAACCTCCTTGCTCATCCGCAATCCTACATTCTGTCTTACCTCTAATTCTTTCAATTATAACCCTACCGTACACTTTTCCTGGTATACTCAGTAAGCTTATTCCTCTATAATTTTTACAGTCTCTTTTGTCCCCTTTCCCTTTATATAAAGGGACTATACATGCTCTCTGCCAATCCCTAGGTACCTTCCCCTCTTTCATACATTTATTAAACAAAAGTACCAACCACTCCAACACTATATCCCCCCCTGCTTTTAACATTTCTGTCATGATCCCATCAGTTCCAGCTGCTTTACCCCCTTTCATTTTACGTAATGCCTCACGTACCTCCCCCACACTTACATTCTGCTCTTCTTCACTCCTAAAAGATGGTATACCTCCCTGACCAGTGCATGAAATTACTGCCTCTTTTTACATTCAGTAATTTATACCGGAGAAGGGATTACTATCCCCTTGCTCCCTACATTTTAGTCGCCTCTTACAATACACATGGCTTGTGGAGGAGGAATTATTCTCCATTTCCCCATGGAGAAGTTTTTTTTTTTTTTACAGTATTGAATTTACAGATCAAAAGCGACCATCCAACCTCATTTCATTTTAAAACCCAGTCCTATCTAGGATACCTTACTATCCCCTATGATTCTGTCTACAACAGACAGCTAGCACCCAGGCACTTATTTACTACTAGGTAAACTGGGACTCCATCCATCCAGGATTAAACCCAGATTGTTTGGTTGCAAGATGAAGGTGCTACCACCGAGCTACAATACACTGCAAAACATCCAGTGTGCATTGACGACAATTATGTTATGAAAACATCTTATGAGTTTCTGATCTGTCAGAATATCTATGAGCATTATTTTGATACAGTATTATTACATTGCCATGCATGTTGTAAAAGGCGACTAAAATGCCGGGAGCAAGGGGCTAGTAACCCCTTCTTCTTTATAAATTACTAAATTTAAAAAGAAGGACTTTTGTTTTTCTTTTTAGGTCACCTTGCCTTGGTGGGATATAGCTGGTGTGTTAAAATAAATAAAAAAAATTATTATATGGTCTGACAGAACCCATTGTTGTCTGTTATTGGCAGTTGTGCCTTGTATGTGGCATCTTGCCTAGGTGAGAAACAGCTGATAATTTTAAGAATAATTAACATCTTAACAGGCTTTTTTTTCAGATTTTTCTTTGTCATTTACATTAGTTTGTTTTACCTTATAAATAAACATTTGGGATTCACTATTGTAAATATAGCTAATACATTTATTATAAATACTGTTTGCAAGTGGATTGCTTTCAACCATTATTCATATCAGTAAGTCCAGGGCCTGTAATGAGAGATCCCTTACTTGTATTCTCACTGATGATTCTTTGTAACATTTTGGGTTTTGAAAATTGTCCAGAACATAGGTCGTGAGCTTCCTGCCTCTAGTGCTTTAGTTCTTTGAGTGCCCACCTTATGGTGTATTGCTGCCTCATTCACTGGTTTTAGGATCACATAACCTGAACACAGAATACAACAATTCATTGGAGGGATTAGGATTTGGACTTATGGTTTAGGATTACCAACTCACCACCTTAGTCCATTGCACCTGTGCACTGGGATTCCCAGACTGTAGGTTCAAATTCCATTCACTCCACAGAATTATTATATTGATTCATTAAGATTTTTTGATACACACATTATAATGTTTTGAAGTGTGAAAAACTGTTTTGTAGGGAAGATTCCATGAATCATGGTGTCCTCTGTCTTCCCATGTCAGTTGTTTCTAAGCACTGGTACTCAGGGGATGAAAACTGGTTATAGAGTCCATTTCTGGTGTAATATTCTCGAAGTTTATCAACAGTTTACCATCTAGTAGTGGTTAAGATAAGATAAGATAAGATTTCGTTCGGATTTTTAACCCCGGAGGGTTAGCCACCCAGGATAACCCAAGAAAGTCAGTGCGTCATCGAGGACTGTCTAACTTATTTCCATTGGGGTCCTTAATCTTGTCCCCCAGGATGCGACCCACACCAGTCGACTAACACCCAGGTACCTATTTGCTGCTAGGTGAACAGGACAACAGGTGTAAGGAAACGTGTCGAAATGTTTCCACCCACCGGGAATCGAACCCGGGCCCTCCGTGTGTGAAGCGGGAGCTTTAGCCACCAGACCACCGGGTATTGTTATGTACATACTCACTAGACAGATACTAGTACTGTAGATGGGCTTGAGTCCTGGAGGTGGGAAGTACAGTGGTTACATTCTAAAGGAGGGGTTACAGATATTTGATGTTTACATGGACATCTGAGTTGTCATATCTGTGCTCCTCTGGCAGAACAGTGATAACGTGAATGATGGCGAAAATGTTTCTTTTTCGGGTCACCCTAAATTGGTGGGAGATGGCCAGCTTGTTAAAAAAAAAAATGAGTACAGTATTAACTGTGGTGTCAGATTTGTAGATAAAAATAAAATAAAGTAAAATAATTTTTTTTCTTTGCTAAGGTTACAATGTGTGTTTACATTTTATAATTTGATTGGTACAAAGAAAGCCACTATCATGCCAAGGCATTTCAGGCAGTCTTAACCTAATATTTATGGACTGCTTAAGTATAGACAGATGAAGAGTGGTAGAATACAAATATTCAATATTTTACTCTATTATTAATTTGAGGTAGTACAGTTAATGATACAAACATACATTATTAAGTTTATAAGTGTAGTAGGTTGGTAGACAGCAACCACCCAGGGAGGTACTACTGTTCTGCCAAGTGAGTGTAAAATGAAACCCTGTAATTGTTTTACATGATGGTAGGATTGCTGGTGTCTTTTGTCTGTCTCATAAATATGCAAGATTACAGGTACGTCTTGCTACTTCTACTTACACTTAGGTCACACTAAACATACATGTACACATTTATTTATACACACTCATCTGAGTTTTCTTTGGTTTTATCTTAGTTCTTGTTCTAATTACTTTTCCTTTTATATCCATGGGGAAGTGGAATAAGAATCTTTCCTCCGTAAGCCATGCGTGTTGTGAAAGTCAACTAAAATGCCGGGAACAATGGGCTAGTAACCCCTTTTCCTGTAAAAATTACTAAAAAGAATAAGAAGAAGAAAATTGTCAAAGTGGGAAGTTTAAATGTGTGTGGATGTTGTGCGAATGATAAGAAAGAGATGATTGTGGATGTTATGAATGAGAAGAAGCT